TTTGTTGTGCTTCGTTCAGTTACGTATTGCTGAAAGTATGTTAAATATCTATTGTAAAGGTAATGTGTAGTAAAGCGACAGCACTGGGTTTACTATGGCGGTCAAGACTCACGAGCTACATGATAAGTTGCACTGTCATTAAACTACACCATTTTTATAGTGATGGTACCAGCTGTAAAAATTCTCATGACATGCTTAGGAGAGCCGTGATTCTAATGTACAAAGTAGATCTAAAGTAAACCACCTGCATATAATATAGGCACCTATATATATTATATGCATTATACTTAAACCAGTGGTACAAATTATCGTATTTAAATATACAAGGAAATAAGGAGATATATTTTTCAAAGAAAAACATCAATAAATTATTTATTTTTTTTAGAAATGCTGTATAATGTTTAATTGACAACATTTTAGGTATATATCCAATTATTGAAATAGTGGTAACAAAATTATTAAAATAATGAAATGTTTAATTTTATTACATAATTTTAATTATAATGGTAATATTTATCTGTAACCGAACACATACAAAAATAATCCACTATTGTGGGTCACAATTTTACAAGAAGAATAACATAATATTATAAACAAATATAATAATATATTTATTTAAATTGATCAAAAAAATCATACAAATAATAAATTGATTCATTATATTTATATTTTATACAAAAAATATGAATATTTTGGGATAATATTTAATTAAACCCCTAAACTAAACATAAGAATAATATTTTTTTCTTTTTTGAATAATTTACACAATAAAGAAAATTTTGTTCACATTTTATAACTATTTGTCTTTTTTTCTTATGAGCTAAAAAATTGTAAAAACTAATAGCATCATTGATTCTAAAAAGAATGCATAATTATAAATCGTTGTTTCATAATATTAATATTGTATAATTTTTTTTATAAATTTATAATTGTTTAAATTATACAACTGTTTAAGCATAAACACAATTTGCCTTTAGGTATAAGTGAGTCTGTTGTATAACTGTTAGAAAATAATAAATAATAAATATTTTAATTGGTTTAAATTTTAAAAATCACAGTTAAATATATTATGAATAATGTGTATAGTTGACCATAATATAAAATAACAAAATTCAGGTAAAAAAAAAAATCAACAATGAAATATTAATTAAAAAATTGAATGTGCATGGTGGTAATATGGACTTTTTATTAATATACAAATCAAAATCAATAATAAATTAGAAAATTTAGAAAATAGTTTAAAACATTTTTTTTTTTACTTCTGTATATCTTGTCATGTATACACTATACTCTTCCAAGGCTAGTAAAGATTTCATATCAAATAAATTTCCCTCAACACATAATAATGACACTTTAGATGATGTTAATAATTCTTTTGGAATATCATCTAGTTCTAGACAATTTTCTTCTACACGCAAAGTCTTCAGTCTGGGGCATTGTGCTAAGCTAGATGGCAATTTTCTAATTTGATTTTGATTTAGGTTTAATTCAACTAATCTTGACTGTTTTATAAGTTCAGGCAATTGAGTGATGTTATTCTTAGATAAATCCAATGCTTCCAAATGTTTTAATTCGCACAAAAACTCCGGAAATATACTAAGCTGATTATCTCCAAACGAGGCGCGTTTAAGAAACATCAAATTATTCAGTGGAGGTATTGACTTTAATAAATTACAATTCACCTGTAATGTTTCAATCTTTGACAAGCAGTTTATTTCTTCGGGTAGATTTTCTAACGAGTTGTTGCTGACATTAAGTATCTTTAGTTCTTTGAATTGGCCAATAGATTTTGGTAATGTTTTCAATTTGTTTTTAGACAACTCCAAAGTTCTTAACATAGGATGAAGCACGTCAATAGAATCTGGAAACTGTTTAAGATGACTATCTGATAAATTTAGCACACCTGTTTTTTTGGATGTTTCAACATGGTTCTTTAAGCTCGATGCGTTTCCCATTTTTGTTTAATTTTATTTTTTTTAAGCAATAACCATTATGAACTTAAACAGAATTATTACTTAATACTTATAAGTTAATATTATTCAATTATTGAGGGGTTAACTGTTGATTAAACTCATACAAAACTGAAAACTTCATACTCTAAACAATTATAATAATTGTAATTATACCTTTATCTTTTATCTGTGGACCTGTGGTTATACCATTATCTATTATCACTTTAGATATAATATCACAGAATAAAAAATATGATACAGAATTCTGTGATAATGTTGTAATTTTATCTGCATTTGTGGTACGTTATCAAATGAGCCCCCTCCAACTAATTTTTTTTTGTTTACACTCTAAAGTGGTTTACCATATTTTATTGTATTCTCTTTCTACTCTTTATGATGTATTTAAGATTTCACACATAATTATTTTATTTATTGTGCTATTAAGTTCAGTACCAGGAGTTGACATAGATCTTAATGTGATTTTTATTATAAATACGTAAAATGATTAAACAAGTATTTAAATCATTCCCGGACAATAAACCAATATCGGGATTATGCATAGTAGAAGATATTACCAAATGCCCGACTGGATATAATCCCGTGAGTCACTAACATAATTATTTATGATTAATCATCAGTCGATATCATCAATTATTTGTAGACATTTAAAATTAATAAAATTTGTATGTTTAAAAATTAAATATATTATTGTTTTTGCTTCAAATACAATGTTTAGGTAGTAAAATTTATTAAACATTTTTAAGAAAGCACCTATTTAATATGTGCACATATTTTATATATCTATTATAATTTTATATTTAGATATCAAAAACACATGACCAAGATTCAGATGCCGATTTACATATGCAATCATGGAAAGAGTCTGTCTTTATTGGCAGAAAAATTACAAGATATTTATGCTTATCTAAGACAGAAGGGATTTCGGATTACATTGTAGTAAATATAAATATAATAAATGAAAAAGAATGTCCTCCTGATGGCTATTGTTTAATTCCCAGAACTATTGACAGTGGTAACCATATTGTTTTTAGTTTTTCATTAATTATTAATATTTTTACTATTCTAATATTTGTACCATTTTAAGATCAAAAAGCCTGGCGAAAACGTCAACTATGTTACAAATTAACTAGAAAAAGTCAAGCTGCTTATGCAATTACTGATATTATACTGTTAAGTCGATCAAAGAAAGCACCTGATGGTTTTAATTTAGTTGGGTATGATCTATTGACATTAAAATTAATTAATTATTAATTATAAGACAATGTAATAATTTTTAGGGATTTAAATGGTTTAACACTTTGTTATAAAACTAGTCCTCAATCACCAAATAATGTGCCATTACCATCACTAACTTATGGGTATGTTAATTAATGTAAAATATGCCTGTTTAATTTATAACTAATACAATAATACTTTCAGTTATTTATAATATTTATCTATTATTGTAGATTAGCACCTACGCCACCAACAGAAAACATTCCAAATAATAATGGATCTTTGAGTTCACTTCCCAGCTTAGAATCAAGTGCTAATGCATTATCTCATGATTATGATCGACTAATGTCATTAAAACCTACACGACCAGCACCAAAATTACCTCCAACATATTCGTCTTCAAATTATTCGACATTAAATTCTTATCAAGGTAAATTAAATATTTATCTTTTTTTTTTTATGAAACTTAGATATTGGTTTTATTTATTTATTATGTAATTGTAATTTTTAGGGTTAGAAGGTATTCCATTTATATTAAATCAAAATATTTCCATGGATAATAATTCCATTTTTAAGGTAAAAAAATCTAGTTTAAGTTGATACAGTTAACAAATAAATTAATTTTTTTAATTTTTTAGGATATACCAGAAATTAAAATAAAAACAGCTGAAGAAATTGATTTGGAAGTATGTATATTGTTATTATTTAATGTAAATTATGTTTAATAGCATTGCAAGTTTAATCACGATTAAAAATAAAATTGTTCTCTTTTAATCTTTAAACATATCATATTGACAAATTAATTATTTTAAATTGTATAATGTAGAGATTAGGAAAAATAACGTAAGCAAATTTTTTAATACCTACTTACTACACAATATTTATAAGAATAAAATGGGATAACATTTTGATCATTTAAAATTTATGCTGTATACCATAGTTATTCTAAATAATAATTATAGTTCTCTGACAAATCTAATAATTTAATGTAAATTCCTATAACAAAAATGAAACAATAAAAATTTTTTTTTAATTTTTTTTTTTTTTATATAAAAATAATATTTATTTGAATTATTTAATTATGTTACAGTACAACTACAGTTTTGAACAAGAACGACAAGTGTGATTTCCTACTTATTTTATAAATTGTAAGTTTGATACTTTTTAAAAAGTAAAATGTATTCATTTGTAATATAATTTTATAACTTCAGTAACTATTAATTATTATTTTTATTTAAATTGCTATAATTTTTTTTAATTATATAGCTTAAATTTAAAAATTGTTAGCAGTATGATAAAATGTTTTACCTATCATACTCATTAATTAAAACCAAATTGACTTTTAATAATTAATTATTAATTGTATATTTAAAAATAGTTTAGGTATTTCAGATCAAACATATCATGACAGTTTAGTATTATAATATATGTATACAGTGAAATCTTAATCAATTGAACAAAATATTCTTTTATCAGTTTGTACCTAATAGTTCAATATATATTTAAATTTTAGATTTTTCAAATTATTTAGGTATGCTATTATATCAATCTTCGAGATTTCACTGGATCATTAATACTCATAACTTATATTATATTTTAATGTTACCTAATAGATAATTTTGCCATTCTAAAAAAAAAAACAAATTATTAAATTAATACTATGTGTACAGATATTTAATAAATGCCATTAAAGTTAAACTAATGAAAACTTTTTACTTAAAGAAAAATAAGAACTTATTTGACTGTTAGTAATTAACTATATTATTATGTATTTTCTTTGTAATAATTTGGTTTATATTGAAAATACATATTAAAATATCTTGTACATTTCTTAGCATGGATTATTTAAAATGCTTAATAAACAATAAATAGAAAGATTTTTTTCAAAGTATGAATAGTTAATTTATATTATTATTAAGAAATAAATACTATTAATTTTAAACTTTTATTTATCCCATTATTATTTTTTAGTATTAGATTTAGTAGTGCAAAATTAATTTTTTAGAACTTTTTGATTTTTCCCACCAAACCCCACTTCTTATAAAATTATATACAAGGATAAAATATAGATAATTGTTAGTAAACAGAAGCATTTAAAAACATTTTTTCCTACTACTGTATATTACTTAATATATATACATAATAATTTTTAATATATTAAATTTAGCATATAGTTTTATTTATAATTTTTAGTATTTAAATTGTGATTCTAATAAATAAATAAATAATATATTATGTATAATGTATCTATAAAATGAAAACCGCACATTATTTAGCTTATGATAATAAAAATAAAAATAATCATTGTATTTAAATTTCAAATAATTGGTGCTACTTTAAATTATTAAATAATAATTAAAATTTAATAGCCATGCAACTTTATATTTATAGATATTTAATATGTTGTTTATAATTTTAAAAACCAAATAATTACAGTAGGAGATAATATTAATGTAAATTAATAGATCACATGAATACTTATTTATTGATGAGCATACAGGGTGTTTTAGATAATTCAGTTATAGCCTAACATCTTTATGTTCAATAGGTAATAATGTACTGGTTTGTTATATTTTAGTATATTTTTAATTATACCTGTTACTGTATAATAAATTATTTCTATGTATAGAATGGAATAATATTATTTATTTCTTATAAGTTCAATATAAAGGAGAAGATTCTTTTCTCTAACATTAAAACTTATTATTTAACTAATTTCTAACAATAAAATTGTATTGAAATAAGATTACAGTAACTCAAATTTAACTTTTTGTATTTTATTGACTAAAAAATTATAAATATAATACTAAAAAATAATAGATATAGTTATAAATTAAAGTATGGTGTAAATTAACTTTTAAGTAGTATCCAATTAAAATACTTTTTGTTTAAATTAAAATATTTTACTAACAATTATGAACAAACATTAATATTAAAAATGTATTGTTAAATATTATTATTTTATGTGTATATGATATACTTGTGAATTTGTATAATATGTTTAATATTACACAAAACATTAATAAAAAAGTTAAATAACAATTAAACATTTTTTACAAATCATTTTTATAAAGTAATCATTTAATATCTTTTTAAAATGTAATATACAACCTATCAAGTGTCTTAGTGCTGAAATGTGCAAAAAAATATGTACAATCAAATAACAGATTCTGAGTTTTTATTATTTAAATTTTAAATGACTATTTTATTCAAAATAAAATAAATTAAATTATTAATAACAGATTAATGTAAATGCTTTTATAAATAAATATTTTAGAATTTTTAAATTATATAAAAATAATAAGAAATATGTTTAAAAATTCTAAATTTAATGATTTGAACATTTACAAATAGTAAATAATAAATAGAAATAAAAAATAATTATTTATAAATTTTAATTTTTAATTTCCTGGGTAAAATGTTTTGTTAAAAAAGAATTTAAAAGTATTAATTGTTTCATACATAACATACTATTATATTGTATAAATTATTGATATTCCTATTACCATAAATATTACAAACAAATTATATTATTAGTTATTCGTAACATGATTATTTTAGCTAGATACTATTTTTAATCACATTCTGATAATTTAATTTAAAAGTTGAGTAAAAAAAAAAAGTTTAAAATAAATTGGTCAATTATTTAAACTTAATAAATCCCCATTTATGAGATATATGATTATTTATTATTATACTGTTAAATTGTATAATTTAATTGTAATAATATATGATATAATTATTTAATTTCATGATAATATTTGATAATTATAATTTTCAATGTATTTTGTATATAAATCTACTCCCTTAAGATATTATTAAACATTTTCATTGTGCACCCAAAATGTTAACTTGATAATGAAAAAATAAATTGTCTCGTGATGTACCTCAATAAACAAAATCATTTACTGCCTTCTTTAATAATTAGTCTTTAAATTATTTGCCATGCTAGTTATTTTTAACCTTTAAGCATCCATATTTGCTCAATATGAGACTAAATTTAAATATTTTTACATATATTATTATATATAAAATATATTGTAACTCTCAGGATCTAAATTATCTTTAGTATAACATTATTGTCTAATCATAATAATGCGATACCTACTTAATTTAACAACATTCAAAATATAAAAATGTAATTTTAATTGTAAATATATTATATTATATTCTTAGAAATTTTAATAATTTTTAAGTGTTATTGTATATGATGAAGATTACTTCATCGAAATAGTCAAACCATTATTTTAAATGATGTCATAAATCATAATACTAAGTAATTTCATGTACTTTTTTCAATTTATATAAATTTAATACAAATGTATTATTACCAATATATTATACCTATATACGTATCTTGTTTTGTTTGTTCTTTTAATGTTTGTTTCACATTAGTTAATAAATTGTGCAATTAGTCATATTTTAAGCGCTGGCGCTGAACTGCAAGAAAAAATCACTGGTAAATACTAAATTTTAATAATATTTGTCACTATTACGGCTTGTATCAACTTAATTTGTATATAACAAATATTGTATTTTTATATTTAATACTTTCATATTATTTTCACGTGAGTTATGGGTCTCAAGCTATATGACGCCTACCACTTACTAGATTTATATTTTTTTATATTCACCATGGCAGTTGCCAAACTTGGATACAGTGATCAGTGTTATTGATTATAATTATATTATAATCTTAAACATGAAGCGTATGTCATGACTAGTGCCCAGTAGCCACTTAATGGTATTTGTTTGACATAATATTATCTATTCATCAGTAAACTATTTCTTGAAATATTAATATAGAAAAACCTTTTTTTGTCTTTATGAAATAATGACATTTTTTTTATTAAAATGAATAAATAAATAAAACACAATTTTTTGATATAGTTCTTTAATTTTTCATTATTGATAATGTTAATTATATTTTTTACTAGCAATATAAACATTAAATATAAATTCAATATTATTATTGTAGCTAGCTGAGATAACTTAATATAATATATATGTAACAACTAACAACCATGTAACAAATAAATATTAAGACATGAAAGATACTATAGGCCTACAAGATATTTTATCTTATAATAATAATTATATTATTTAATACAAACTGAAATTATATGTTTTGCACTAGGCTTACATTGCCACACAGGATATCTGACAGGAACATTTGCGAGATACAAAATATGGTTGACCACAGAGGTGCTGACCATATATGTTCATTTGCGATGATTATAGTGTGGTAATCTAGCCTAGAAGAACTGGTTCCCAAACTGACAGGATTTTATCAAATGTGACACCACAGAGATTAAAACAACACTTATCTATCTATCTACTACTAAAATATTGTTCTCATAATAAATTTATTTTGGACTTAGTTAAATAAATGTTAATACTTAGAAAATATTCATCAAATTATGTTGAGATTATTAAAACTCTATACTTTGGCTTATATTTGGAGTGTTCATAAAATAATTGGTACAGTAGACAAGGTTCACTCAACAAAAACATCATTAAAAAAAAAAAAATAATGTTTAACATTTTATGAATGTTTAATAAGTAATTCTACTTTGAGGACTTTGGAAGGGGAAATTCATTTAAATCATGATTAGATAAATTGATCACCTTTTCAGCAACTTCAAAGAACCCAGACGTTCTACAAATCTGGCCACAGGTCATACTACTGAAGAAATGGAGAATGCCGTAATTTTCTAAAAAACTCATATGAGTATTTAAGTATAAATAATTTTTATTAAAAGTGACGTATCTATTATGTTACTACATGTCTACATATTGTATATAGTATAATTTTAAGTGAGGAATATGTACATAAAGAGATAAATATTTTGGGCTTCTATTTTTTATAATAAATAAAGTGAATAATTGAGTAGGTACTAATAAGTAATAACTAATAACAATTAACATAATATGAGGCATGGTGATGGTTCTTGATCTATTTTTTTAAATTTTCAAACCCTTTTCAATGACATTAATAATTATTAGTCATAAAGTCTTCAGAAACTTATATTCTCATTAAATTGTTGTGTCTATTTAGTATTTTCTAAAGAGACAAACTGTGTAGATGGAGATGCAGCCATTTCCGTTTAGTTTGGTTCATTAATGTGTAGATATAATTGATATAAATCAAATTATCTTTGAGGTTGATGAATTTAAAAAAAAGTTGTCTCGTAAAATGTTACCTCAGTCCACCTTTGATTTTCCATTTGTTTTCAATTAAAGTATTAAAATATTTAAAATATTTTCCTCGGAGTTCCAGAGTCCATATCCCGCAGTATGAATACTATCACAATTTGAAAATATATTTTTTTACAAAATAATCATGCCACCATTGTACCTTCTTGCTATATTATTATTTGAATGGTTCAAAGGAATATGGGATTGACATAAACATAACACTAAATAAACCAAAGTACTAAAGAATAATAAATACAAAATAAATTCAATAAACAAATTAAAAATATTTAAATACAAATTTAGAGATACCACTGCTACTTACATGAAATAAAACACAAGTATTTAAATATTAATGTATACATCTACCTATTTTTAATGAACTTAACCGGAGTCTACAAAAAAATAAAGAAAATAATTACATCCCAACATATTAGTTATATTCACTATTATTATTTTTAACTTGATAAATGTTATTTATGCGAAAGGAAGAAGGTTGTAGCCCAGCAGCCTGCATAGTGTATGTATAGGTAGGTGTCAATTTAATATTGCCCGCAAGCGCTAAATTTCTATAAACCTGACCCTGACCGACAGCTTTTAAGTAGTATAATATACTATATAAATAACTATAATATAGTTACCTATACTAACCATCGGGATAGTTAACATCAGGTATTGAGGTACCTAAATGGTTTGTATATACATACATATAACCTACCTAATACATAACTAAATAGCTGTATTATGTTGGCAATTAATAATTTTTGTTTATCATAAAAATATATTAGTATATAATATATAAATAGGTACATATACCAGCTACCAGCTAAACCCACTATAGTTTGGATTGAATAAATTTTCGTTGGCTGTAACATAAGAATAAAACAAAATTCTTCGAAAAACAATAAAAATATAAGAGAAGAGCCTCATATAACAGTAATCGTGTAGGTAGGTACCTTAATACTCTTTAATATGTTTATATTTCATAATATAAACATAGGTGGAGATTTATTTTATTTTTAGCAAGGACAAACCCAAAAAATTATGGAGTAATTGTAAAAAGTTAATTAATATACAATAGGGTAAATATAAATATATATAATTTAGAATGAAAAAAGAGGTCGTGGTTAACAGTGCGTATTAGGAAAATGACTGGTTTTCTGCTGCCGGTTAAACAGGAAAATAAAAGGAAATGATTGGAAAATTTTTAAGATAGTTTATTATAGATACATGAGTGGATAAAGTAGAGGAGCGCGTTAATATTAATAATGAGCTATGAGTTTGGAGAGAGGGGATCGTCTTTAACGGTTAGTAGGTTGGACAGAAATTTTAGGTTTGTATGTCTATACGATCAGGAAATAGGAGTATTTTGAGAAAAAGAAAAAAATCTTGAATTGCTGTGTATTCGTGTGGAGGAAAGGGGATATTATAGGTATGTATAAATGCAACAGCACTTAGAAATTGTTTCAAGGCTCTTTCAATCATTTTGCAAATCTATGCGGTAGAGGAAGCTCTGCAAAAATCACTATCGTATTCGTGAATAAGGTGGTCGTAGAATTATGCTGTACAAAGGCTTGAAAGGTACAGCGCGTTTAAAGTTATAAGAAGTGTGAAACTGTAAAATATAAAACTTAGTAGTTTAAAAGTGTTTCTTTTTTATTATTAACTGTTTTTTTTACTGATTTACAAAAAATACTTTAAAATCCTTCAAAAAAATTTAAAAAACCCTAGTTTATTATTTAAGCAAGAGTATTTACCTATCTATTTTTAATATTGATTTAGATATTAGGAGAACATAAAGTCGAATATTCTAAACGAAGAAATAATATCCGATTATCCGAAATACAAACTAAGTTGCCGTGTAAAGATTATCTGTGGGATAAACTGTAAATTAATACCTATGCTATTTATTGGGATAGAATTAATTTTTAAGACGAAAATAACATTTAAGATTAAATAAAACTTATTTTTAAAAAGTTGCACTTTCAATAAAAATCAGAGCGATTAATTTATCGTTATATTAAGCTATTTTAATAGTATCAAGATTTAAATTTCAAATTTCATTTGAAGCTTTTTGTTTAAAACTTTTAGAATTTTAATCGTAGTAATCTTGAGTTTTTAACAATTCATGAAAACTGGTATATAATAATGGAGTTGCAATATAATAAAATTAGTTTTAAGATTTTGAATTATCTAATCAATTACAAATATTTTAAAATTGTTAGTTAGTAAACATAAAACGTCTTGTAAACAGTAAAGTAATACTTCCTAACACATACTTTTAGGAGAAAATTTGAGTAATGTTAACATTTTAAATACGTGTGCTTAAAAACAAAATGATATATTTTTTTAAATAGTTCAAATTATATAAACTAGTATTTTTATGTACTTATGTTTATGTTAGGTAGGTACTTGAAAAGTAAAAAATAATTATTACTTTAAGTGTTACAATAATTAATAAGTTAACTCCTTTATATAACTATATACAATGTATTGAATAATAAACTGTATCTAATTGGTAACTCGCGTAGTGGTAAACAGTTAATTTATTTATTTAAATATCATCATTTTTATTCGACCATAACACACTAACACATAATGTATAAATTCAGTAAAAATTATGTTAATTATCTGATTAATACCAATAAGGCGTAATATCTTGAATTATTTTTAAAACTTCATTTTTTTTTTTTTTGTTTATTGTAATTTTTATGAACAAGCAAATGTTGCAACCTTTGTATTTATTTTATCGATGATTTTTAGTTTTATTATTGTTCCATATTTATAATAGATAATATTATTGATATTAATATATAATCAATATAATATGCACGAAAGATAACTAAAACAATCTGCTAAACAACCTGCCTAATAAAAATAATAATATTATCATATTATCATTGCACAAATTCACGCCAAGGTGTATGAATAAAAAAAACGATACAGATTTATTGCTCGGTACAAACACGCATGTTATTTTTTACGCCGGTCACGCGGTGGGTACGCGTCGTCCGATAATACCGTGTACCAATAACATCCCGGACACTGCGGTCACACTGCGCTTTTGACCCGAGACCGGTTTGTGCCGGAACCCGGGGCGGCGGCGTTGTCCATTCGTCGTTTTCCGCGTTGGGCCGCAAAGCCGTAGCCGCCGTCGTGTGGTGCCGCCGCCGGAGTGCCGAACGGCAGTAGTGCAGTACAGTGCTGTTAGTTGTCGACGGTGAACACTGTCGCGGTCGTTTCGTGAACCGGATGCCGGAACGAACAAAAAAACGTAACCACAGTTCATCAACAATTGTCAGTTGTTGTTCTTCGGTGGGTCGTGGGGGTCGTCGTTCACCCGATCTTGCTCGTTCGGTTGTTTTGTCGTCCGCAAGAACGCGTCGACGACCACACATCGTAATCTCGCGACGCATTGCCGTCGACGATTCCTTTGCGTACGGTGTTTTCAACTCCGGGCCGTTCTTCGCCGGCGCGTTTCGGTTGTCAGTAGCCAATCGGCAGTACAGCGAGAACGGTATCTACCGACTGGGCCCCGGGGCCGTCGCCGGAATGTGCCGCACCGAGTGATGTATTACCTTGTTTTGCGCGATTATGTTGTGGAGACCACGTCCAGCGCGTGAGCAGTGTACGTCGGTGTAAGAGCAAACGCGCTTTCGACGAAGATTGATTAATCGTGAAAACATCAAATACCTAATATTAACTGTAAGTGCAAACGACGCCAGATTGTAGGTACCTCCTAAACAATTTCGATGTACCTGCTTAATCTCGACATTTTTTTTTGCAACACTATTTTCGGTCTGATATCCAAGATTTTGATTACTTGCTTATTACTTGTTAGGTATTATGCCGACAACCGAGACGAATAAACAATTAAAATAATTAGATAGGTACCTACTAAACATTTAGTGAATCATAAAAAAAATAAAAACAAACGTTTAATCGTACAACGCATAGTTAGTCCGATAAATTATCCAATTTTTTATGATAACCGATGCATTAGTGTTTATAGAATTTATTGCTATTACAGGTTACCTATGGCTTCAAAGATATTGGTTTAAATTACATTTGAATTTACCTAGCCATTGTGTATTCCGTGTATTTTGTCTATTTAGAGGACGAAGAGTTGTTTTGGGATCCATTAGGAAACCGTTCATCGCATGATGCCTTTCTAAATCTTTTGTTCTCTCTTAGTATTACTTCAATGTCGGTTAGATTTAACATTCCTACTGTTATATTTACCGTATACTCAGATACCTAATTCTGGTTCAATTTTATACGAATATAAGTTATTAGTTATCAGTTATGACAATTCATGTAAATCTTACAAATCGCTTCCGCGAAATCCTCAGAATTTGGTTTAAGCGATTTAAACAAGTAGCAAGTAAGTGTATTCTATTTATTTGCCTACTAGTATTACCACTATTGTCCACGCCGTATTAATAAATTTAATGATAACTAGTAGAATATTGTAGAGTAGCATTTAGATTTCGGATGAAGTTTTATTTTGATTATATTAAGTAGGTATTTAAATATTTTTGAATTTATTGTTTGATAAATTAATTTAAGTTTTAAAGGAGATTGATCTATTATAAATTATCTAAAAATATGATTATATATTGAATGGTTTTCGGGAATAAAATGCACAACATTCACTCTATTATTTTAATGATAAACATCTGTCATCTGGGCTCTGACAGAACATGCATGCTATTGTTACATATATATACGATGTGCGTCGACTTTAAATGTGACATAAGAGGGTAAATAGATTATATATACAGTTTTTATTTTTAATAAAAAAGCTATTATCGCTGTATAAAATCGTCAGTTAATGAATTTTTCACATTTTATTTCTTACATTATTTAATATTAAGAATAATATCTCTCAAATTTTACTTTATCTTCGAATATATGCAGTGTACACTAACATGAATGATGAACATAGTGTAGTTGAATTAATTTAATTTTCAAGAAATGTATTTTAAAAATATACTTAAATGTATATAATATCCACTTACATCGATACTATTTTATTGAAACAGGATTTTGAATGTTACTATTACATCTTTCTCATGGCCTGCATATGTATTGTCTCAGAACTTTCACTTAGGTTATTCTACTCGGCTATTCTCACGATTGTAATATACTTTAAAAATACCAGAATATAACATTATTTCGTTTCGGTGAATGTGTTCTAACCGCATAGAATTTCTATATTTGTTTGTTTTCGTAAAACTATTAAAAATTTGAGTTATCTTTAAACTATTTAAAGTTATTAAAATATAATATTTTTGTTTATATGTAGAAGTATCAACTATAAGTATTTGTAATTATTGTATTTTAATTTTTAGCGGAACAAGATATGTATTGGTTTAAAAATTATTTGTTTTTTTTGTTTTTTTTTTTGTGAGCAATTTTTTTAATGTTGAAAACATTTCAATTCCTTACTTAAAAGAGTATTATTTTGAAATAACAGTATGTCTGGTAATCGAGAAAAACAAAAAAAAAAATAAATGAGAAAAATAGGAATTTTTACGAAAAACTAGTTTTTAACAAAATTAATTTTAATTATTTTGGTGTAGACTTGATTTTTTCACAAAACCTTAATATCTGCATGTATTTTATAAACATAAAATAAATATTAATTACAAAATATTTTGGATCTTTTTCTACAATTAATAAATATTATAAATTATTCACTTTTATTAATTTATTGACAATTTAAGTATGTATGATAACATTTTTGTTTATTAGTAAATAATCTTCTGATATTAGGTTTGTTGTAGATTACTCTTAAATCAATTAATAAAAAAATTAATGTACTAAAAATACACAATCATAATTTTTTTTTTTCATAAAAATTCTTAGTTTTAACGAAAATCTTCAAAATCACGAAAAAATATGTTATTTAGTAGATATAAAAATCATCATTAAATCTTCGTTTTTTTATATAAGTAACTTTAAAATATATATACATCTCATGTAGATATTTTCGTTTCGTCACCTCGTGTATTATTATATATCATACACAATGAAATTTTCAAAATATTTTGAATCATCTTAAGCTATTTATACCTTTAATATATTAATATCGTTCTACGGTATTGATTTCGAACTTATAAGTTAATACAGATAAAATTATCATAGTTATTATTATATTATAATATATGCAAAACAACAAAAAAAAAAAAAAATAAAAATATAGATTAGTCTATTGTACTAACTATTAATAGAAAAATTAACACCTAATAGCAGTAAAATTCTCTATTATAAAAATATCATTAAAAATATAGTACGACAGTCTATGTCTGCAATGATTAATTACAGAATTCAAATTTAACAATATTACAGTGACCTACTCTTTTTCATGGTACATTCGACACCTACTATAAAGTAGAACAACTTATTCTGTTTCTCCTTGTTTTTGTATTCATTGATGTCAATTGAGGGAAATTTAAGTTTCAAATAAAGTATCCTGTAATAACCTTTAAACATATGAAGTTTAGAAAATAATGAGGTACTAATATAGGTAATAATATAGATTTGTTATTCATTAAAATATTATAATAATTATATGTGTATATTTAATAGGAATTTGTAATATCAGTATATTATGTAGATAATGTATCTTCTGTTTTATGTAGTTTTTAATAACAAATAAACAAGTCTAATTAAATAACAAGAATTGAACAGTACAATAAATAATATGTTGTAAAATAGACTGTTAATATTATTATTTATATGTTTACATTCGTTTTGTTTTTACTAGCAATTAAGCTAACCCCTCCAGTTATATTCTTAAATCCTTTAATCTGCCTTGACAGTTAACGGAATAAAAAAGGATCAAATTAAATTTTATTCAATAAAATACAAATTTATAGTACACCGTCGGAATTATTAAAAAGGTACAGGTCTTTAAAATGATAGATTTGCATTTAGTCAAAGTACGATTCTATTTTCATGAAAAACGTCTAATAAAATACTTAATTTATTTATAAATCATGAATGATATGTTTCGATAACTAGATTATTTTTATTTCCTAAATTATAGAACAAATGATTTGTATTAATAAATGACAACAATAATAATGATATAATAATACGTTTCTTCACATCAGTTATTTATCGTTGATAATAAATACTAATACGTATGTATTTGTAATTAGTGATAAATGGCAATACAAAAAAATAATCGTCTTTTTTAAAATTTGACTGTAAAATAAAATCAGATCAAAAAAAAAAAAAAAAAAATTAATAAATTTTATTATTGCTTAAGCCTTAAAGCTACATAGATCTTAATTGTTTTCCTAAATATTAACAATAAATAAGCTTATGTACCTAGCCATTGTTTTTTGGATAGGGGCAAACATAGGATGGCACTGTATAATTTGGCAATTGAATTAAAATGCTTATTAATATTTCAAAAATATCAAAGTAGTATTTAAGGTAGCATTACTTCAGGGCCTAGACTCCATTATAATAATCTAATCGATAATAACGTATTTATTAGGAAAAATGCAAATTTTTTCGTATAATTTTCCATGAACGAAACATAACAAATAATACAAGTAAAGTTCAATTATATAAACAATAATAATTGAGAATGGTAATAAAACCAACTAAAACTTTATGCTTATATATTTTAATGATATATAGTTTATTGTTGTTGGATAGTACAATGTGAAAATCCGAAAAAAATAAGGGTTAAATAAAACATGTTATCACATAATTTAAAATTTTTGTTTACCGAAATGCACATTTTCGAAATTATTTTAGTTACATACCTTAGTAATAAAATGTTTTAACATGATAAAATTAGTTACATGCCATATTTTAAAATCTGCTTAATTTACTATTATCCGACTTTGCCCTATGCTAAATATCTTTAAAATAATTGTATAATGTTGACACTAATTTTGTTAATTTAAAATGTATCAATGCGTGTATCGTTTAAAATATTATTGATTTTTGTGATGTTTATGCGTAAGTATAAACTATAAACTACTTAATTACATATTTTTATACGACTATACATAACGATTATTTAGATATCTATTATACTTAGTATTTACTATTTAGGTATGATTTTGTACAATTATAATTCAAATTTATATCTTGAATAGGTATATATATTAATAATTGCTCTCATGGTACCTATCTAATTTTAAATTCCACCTAGTAAGCTGTTTATTATGCTACGGTTGTTATAGTAAGCTGTACGCCTATTATATTATGTGTTTTTGTCTGTTATATACATAACATATTTGCATACTATCATGAGATAATAAATTTATATGAATGTACCTACTATGTAGGTATTAATCGTATATTAAACCATAATAAATATTTTTATAAATAACACGTTGATATTTTTTAATCAAATTAATTGTATATTTATGTAAAATTGTTTATAATATTGAATATTTGTATAATTTTTATATTTTTCCAAAATTGTGTTAAATATTTTTTTAGTTTAAATATAAACATATCTTGTTTAGATGCTGGGTAATTTTTAATGATAGTTTAAAATTTAAACATATTTTGTAATAATAAAAATATGTATTTCACATAATGTATAAATTTTCATAAATACATTGTTGAACACTAGAGTTGCATGCATATACTAGAATAATGTGTTTATAACATGATTAAAATAGTGATTATACTATGTCTATAATTCAATAATAAAATATGTTTACAGGTCGCTAGTTAGCGTTAGTGTGTGAATATGGCTGAAAACATTGCATTCAGTGACTGGTCGGAAAAGCTCGACACTGCTGGAACTAATCATTGGCTTCCTGCGTACGGGCTCCAGCAACCGCCAGTGGCGATAGTTGGCAATAGCCACCAACAAAACGATCCCACATTTGATTCTGGCCCTCATGATCACACTGACTATTTCGATGACAACAATGGTAATTATAAGTTATAACACACTACTACTACTATACTATTATAATACTTGTACCTATACGTTTTATATAATAAATGTAGGTATACACGTATAATACACATTATGCACTTATGCGTGTATATTGTATATAGATATATTATATAGGTAATAGGTACACAGCAATATCTATGGCTATATTGCATTATTTGCTATAATAGTTACTTTAGACATGTATAAAACCTTTCAAAACCTTGTTCACGTAGTCTTCAGCCAAGACAACCGTATTGCTATCTATTGTATTCCCGGTCATAATGTTGAAACAGATTAGTGTAACTAAAAATGAAATATCGATATTGATCAATTATTAATTTGATAAAATTTTAACTAGTGAACATAATGAAGTTTTCCTTCTCTTACAGTTTCTCATGTAATGAAATGAAAAACAAAATAAAAAAATATTAACCATAAATGGTGTTTTTCTATTAATTAAAAAATGTGATCAAATTAAATTTCGTATTTAAAAATAAAAGTATTAATTAATGATTAAATAGCTATCAAAAAAAAGTGTGATTTATAATTAATTCATTTTACTGCAGTTTGCATTTTATAATATTTGTCATATAAAATTAGAAGTTATTTAACAAGAACAAATATCACCTAAAAATTGGACTATTGTTAACGTATTGGTCACATATCCTATATGTCTAATCAAAACAACAAGTACGTTGAACCGCTTGTAGAAACGACCACGATCGTTAATAAGACCAAATTTGTTGTTTTAGTTATTGCCTATGCCCTATTATTGGTTACGTTAAACCTACGTATACATATGCTTTTTGCCTATTATCTGGAGTGACAATTCATTAATTATATATATGTAGATCAGACATTTTCTTTATTTTTTTCTTTATATTAGTAATACATTTTTATTTGTCTGTTTATGTTTATGACTCGTTTTAAAGCTATGCGTTTGATATGCGGCATATCATATTTGCGTTTTTTGTTTCACTTTGTTAAAGTTTGTAGTATTGACTTCGTACGCGCCGAAAGCATGAAGTCAACATGGATAGTGGATACTATGCATATTTTAATAACTTGAAGCAAATTATGAGTATTTTCAAATTAAAAAAAAAAAAACATGGTTTTAAAAACTTATAATTTGTATAAAAATTAAAATATAAAAAAAAAGGCTTACCTAATATTTTTACGTAATACCTACTAATTATACCTTTAAATTTGATAATATTAGTATATGGTTTATTTACTTTAATATTAAAAATAACTGAGTTAAATAGATTCTTTTGAACATTTTTTAATAATTTGTTATTTTAAGACGGAGATAACATTTACGAATACGAATGTACAACTTTATTATTTGATCAAAATATTACTTACTAATACATTTTTTGTATTAAAAGGTGTATATAATTTTTTCTTTAAATCTTAATTTATTAGTTACAATATTTGTATTCTTTGTATGTTGTTATTTTTAAATAATTTAAATAAATGTTCTTATTCGTTTAAGTTGTAAAATCAGCTATATATTAATCAATTGTACATAATATATACTGTACAGTGTACACTATTTAAAATTATGATTAAAAATATCATTATTGTAAGTATTTTAAAAAATATGAATGTACCATCATAGAAACATTTTGCAGTACAATTTTTTTTTTTTTTGATTAATGATTTCTACATGAGTTCAATTCTTCTGAAAAGTCAAGGTATTTGCTTATTATAAACTGAATTAATACAAATTATAGTAAATTAAATGTTTATTTTTAATAAAACGATATTAATATTCATTATATCATAAACACATAAAATGTTAAATATTTTACATTTTAATTTTCTTCAAGCTGTTACGGTCGTTACTCATAACTCATAAGTCATAACACTTTCTATTTTGAATTTATAATTGAAATTATACATTTTTAAGCTATTATGTATACATGTCTTCAATAAAAATAATAAATTTCATTAAAAAGTAAATTGTAAAATTGTATTCAAAATTATCTATGTCTATATGGATTTAAATAAATTACGTGCGTGCGTAAAGAATACAACTTTAATTAAAACAAAACTTAAAGATTTAAAAAAAAAATTATTTTTTTATCAAGATATTATTATTGTATACGTTATGTTTGTATTATACTTTTAACTTGTAACTAGTCTGTGCAAATATTTATACTTGCAGTATTATATTTGTGTTTAAATTAGAACAAAAACAATAGCTTAAATTATTTAAATGTTTGTTAAAAACCGGTTATTTTATTAACTGATCAACTTAATTGGTAATTCTCGATGACTTCATTTTTTTTTCGTTAAATTTTTTAAATTTCAATTTATTATTAATAATTATACTTAATAATATATTTTTTAAATAATTATTTATAGATTATTTTGAGCTAATAGCCAATAGGTATAAATTTAATTTTAATAAAAAAAATGTGTTTAAAACAGATGATTGTAGTTTGTATTTTCTTTAAAAATTTCGTATGAATTATATTTTACTGTAATTTTATGGATCGAATACTTATAAATTATGATATAAACTATTCAGTGACGCTGATTTCAGACTTTTTTTGTGAAGCAAATTTTTAAATTTTTGTCCCGCCCACCCACTTAAACTTTGCAACTATCTAATGCGATATAAAAATACTTAGAATTTTTTTGTTAAGATTATTTTATTTGAGTTTGTACACGATTATACATGGGTTATAAACCCACGACCCACCCATCCAATTAAGAAGTGAAGCGATCGCTTCTCATGGCATATGAGTTTGGTACCACTAAAATTATTTAAATCATGTAGGAGTACATAATATTTATATAGGTACGGATATAAATATTATAAAATATAAGTATAAATGGCATTCAAGTATATATATTATAATTATTATAAATACTTAGTTAAATAGTAACTTATTTCAAAGCTTAATTATAAGCTTTTATTTTATATTATTTTAAAACATAATTCTTTATTTTTAATGGCTATTAGTTATAATATCATCTGATACATTTGCCTTTAACCAATGTCAATATTCTAATTTAATATATCATTATTCATTACGTGTACTTCAAATAATGTCAATAGTTAGTGAATTATATTACCTATATAAATATCTAAATAAACGGTTTATCGTTCATTGTATCGGCAAAAAATTGCTCAAACCTCAGAAAAAAGAGGCCAGCAACGGGGCAGAATATTACTACCTAGTACCTACCTACCGTTATTTGGCTTCACGGAAACTACTTGCAGTTTTAAATCCATTCCGTTTCTTACGCTCGTCGTCACCGTTCACTCGTGCTAGTTTTTTTTACAACATTCTTATACGATAACAATAAAATATCATTACTGTCTTAACCGATTCATCTGTGTTAAACTTAATAATTATTTAGATATTTCATGATAAAAAAAAAAATAAGATTGTATAATACTATGTTTGTATTTAATTAAAAATGTATGAATATTGCCAATACATGTTCAGTACTGAAACTATATTATTCATGTTATATTATTTTATTGTTTGTATTTTAATACTATTTTGAACAAGTTAGACGCTTAAATTAGAATCGTATCCAATGAATACAATTCCCATAAAACATGATGACTTTATGTTGGGAGTAAAACGTAAAACACCGTAAACATGAGTTGTGTTTTGATAACTAAATAAAGTGATAGGTTAAAGTTAATTGAAAACGGCATTATTTTAAAACAAATTGCATAACGGTATTTTTTCATTAAAAAATTATATATATTTTTCAATTAAGTTTTAAATTTAACTTTTGATCCTAATCGTTTTTTTTTTTTTGTTGATATAATTTTAAAATAATAAAAAAAAAAACTAAATAATATTTTAATTTAAAATACATATTTCCAAAACGTATGCTTGAATAATTAATAAAAAACAAGAAATGTCACTATAAACAATATATATTCGTATTAAAAATTTTAATTTATTTAAAACAAGAAGGTACCTATGTATAGTTTGTTATTGATTAATTAATATTATATTACGTATTTAGAACAAACTTTAATAAATAATCACATCTAATGATTATTGTAGTAATACTTGGTGTATATAATTTTTATATTATAATTATGTTCTAAATAAAATATAACGTTTTAATGTATATGTAACAATCATTATCATTAATCTGGATATATGCATAAATTATTAATAAATGGCCATGACAACCAATAGTACAATTTAACACAAAATAATAAATACTTATTAATTTAAAAATAACTTTCGGTTCTATAAAAACCACGGAATATTGTATAATAATTTTGAATTATTTTAAGAAAAACATTGTATTCTGGCCCCCTAAGCGAACGGGTCCGAGCGCATCAGCACCCTGTGATACCTCTCGTTCGCCACTGAGTAATTTTTATTTTAATATTTTTTTTAGAAATATTTTATACAGTTTTAAAATTACTTTTGTATTGCCTTTTTTTATATAATCTTGTACCAAAACGTATGTATGTACGAATGTAAATATTACGTTACAAATAACGCAATGCTTATGTCTACGGTATATTATGATAATTAAATTTTTAAATTTATAATGAAAGCTTGAAAATATTAATTAGTAAATAGTATTAAAAGTTGTATATATATTTTTAAATCGATAGTTCTGTGACGGTTTCTCTCAAAATACTATCTAGGTATTGTTTCATTATATTGGCTACTATAATTATTGGTCATCATGATGTATTTAATTGTACATGTAATGAAATAAAAAAACAATTGTATAAAATAATTTCAATAAATTAATAAACATCCCTAAAATCTCTTCTATAAATGAGGAAGAGAGTTTTTGAAAATTTCACATTCTGGCCTAGTTTTTAAATTACACCACTAGCCGCTGTGTTTTATGTACGTATTTATAACATAGGTATTTTCCGATTATTTTTTCATTAATAACTCATAATTGGAACATTATTATTATACATGAATCCAAACACTTAACACCTACTATTACACTTGATTATATTGCATTTTTTTAGTTTTCTTTTTTTTTTTTTTGACACCTGTTATTTCCTTAGCATTTTATTAATCGCCACGTTTCGTTGCGCCCTTCGTTAGGATTTCGTTTCCGTATTTTGTATGTAGATCTGTACAGATTCCTGTCAGAGTTAAACATGCACTCATAGTTTCTGTGTACTGATAATAGGCTATAGACTATATTATAATATAGAAGCGTGCGTTGTTGATCACGTGTCTTTGTTTTCGTCTTATTAGTTATTGCGGTATACAAACACGTAGGACAACGTGTATATTCCGCATTAATGACCGACGAAATATGTTAAACGATTTGCCGACACATTGACAAAACATTATGCAACTCTATATGCCCATATAACAAATAACTGTAAGAATTGTAAATAATATCTACATAGATAATAAACACTGTTGCTGTGTCACAGCAGTGACTTGTAAAACTAAGAGACAATATAGTATAACAAATACTGACGTGTTTAAAATTTCTTAGAAAATAACATAATAATACTATTAAACTAACGATTTTTAAGTTTATTTGAATATTAAACACAATGCACAACACATTCCATTCACCATCCCTTCGATGTTGTGCGCTCGCTTTATTTGATACCAATTGATTGAATTCATTTGACTGTGTTACAGAAGACGATCTCTGCGATAACGGTGAAGAAGATAACTGGTCATCGTTCAACCAAAGCAGTTATGGTGGAAACATCATAAGCAGCACGTCTTATATTTTTCTAGAAACGATCCTTGAAGAAACTTCTGACGATTTGCGGACGGATTCGGAAAGAAGTAGTGAAGAAGGTTACATTTTTTTTTTTTTTTTTTGAAAAATAACAATAATTATTATTAATCAGTAATCAAAATTAACTATTAAAAATAAGCAAAATTTTTTTTATTAATATTAATTAATTTGTCTATATGAATATTGCTGCACATTTGAATCACTTTTTTAATTTATATACTCAAATAATTGAATTGATAATAATTATAGTAACTGAAAAATTATCATTAATTAATCAAATTCTAAAAAATCAAAAAAATTAGAGTTTTATGGATTATAATATTAAATGTAATTTATAATTTTATTATTCAAAAATTAGTACTTAGTAAAAGCTATAGTGTTTTGAAGTAATTTTAAGTTTTTAATTCTCAAATTATTATATGTAATTATAATTTTACTAGTTTACTTTTGTTTATGTCATGACTCATGACATAATTCTTCATCATTTTATAATTTCGTTACAATAATAATTATACATATAAAAATATTTACATGGTTAGTGGGTGCTAGGTGGGTAATAATTTTATATTCTTACCAGAGCGAAGAATTTATTGATTTTACAATGCTTTTTTTTCTGTCCGTCATCATCTTTTGAGACAATCAAAATGCTTTAATTTTTAAATTTGGTAGTGGTAGAAAATTGGATTTAATTGATAATTTGAGTATCAATGGTAAAAATTTTCCAGTAATTTTAATAATATTCGGAAAATGGTAATTTTCATGTAAAACCAACCAGTATATGATAAAATTTATTTTATTATTATGATATAACTCAAGTTACCATATATACTTGAAAAATTTCATAATTTTCATGAAATTTTAATGGTTATAGTAATATTTTCTGTTCACAATTTTGGACTATTTCTAAAGAATTTAAATTAAAATAGTGAATGAAAAAAGCTTGATAATCTAATACAAGATCCTTATAAGTTATTCATTTACTAGTTAAAAAATATCAAAAACAAATTATTTAGTTGCAATATTTTTTATAGGCGTTTATAATGATATAATTTTAACAAAATTCTAAAAATAAAAATGTCAAATTTGCAAAAATTTAAAAAAGATTTTTTGAAAAAAATTCTTTTTATATCTAATATTTAAAATTTAATTCAAGGTTCTTTACAAGTTGTTCTACTTTTGTTTAAAAAAAAGTTAGTTGGAAAGTCATATTTATTTTTAATGAGTGTTTGAAGTTCAAAATATGTTACGATATTGGATTCACCTATATAATTATTTGATATTTCTCCTCAATACATTTTTGATATTTTAAATTTTCACCAAAAATGTGATGTTATAATTTCCTATATTTGATATTTTCTAAATATTTTGAATTTATATAATTTAATTTTATTATATTTATATAATTTATATATTTATTTTTATTTATATAAAATTTTTCATATTTGTTTATATTTTATTTCTACAAATGCGATAAATTAATTATTTCTGGGTCAAAAAGCTTGAAAATGGAGTACAATATTTCTCGTATGATATAATTATTACATATTTTTAAAAATGAAAAAAGATAAATATATATTAGGTACTACAGATACGATTTTTATTTTTAAGCATATGCAATTTAATTTTGATAAAATTCATCAAAATTGTAATTTAATAGGTAGTTGATAAAATACTTAATTTTTATAGCTTGGGATTTTAAATTTAGTATGATGTTTTTTATAGATAATCATACTGTAAATAATATACATACCAAAATATATATTAAAATAACATAGACATTTATAGTTAAAATTTAGTTAAAATAAAATATTTAAATGAAATTGTTTGTGTCGATTTGACATTTTGGAGCTGAAAATTGCTACATCGAATAAAGTTGCTACTTGCTACTTTGCTAGTAAAAAATTTAATCTATTTGTAGTTGGTAATTTTTGGATCAAAAATGAGCAAATCCACAGTACTTTTCTAATTGATACATATTAGGAAGTATATAAGTACTTCGGTATTATATTCAAATTTAACACACCCATTACTTACTCAATTATTATATACACTCGATGCCTAATTTACAGTAGATTGAGTTCCTCGGTATTTTTTATTAATTAATTCCAATCAATTGATAATTAAAAATAATATTAATTTCAAAATTGTAAATGACTATATGTAAAAAATATATTTCATGTTGTTATGCCTCTGTGCTTATTTTTATCTAAAAGGTATTTAACACTTATCGCATATTAATTAGCTTAACATTGTTAATAAAAGAAACTATTTTATTTATTGATTCCTTGTTCTGCTTATAAATTAATGCTAACATAGAAACATCAAATAATTTATATTATTCTTAATAAATTCTAAATAAAATGCTAACTATTTATCTGTGAATAATAAATCAACTAATCTTGTATACACGTATTACTCTTACACGATTTTTATCTCAACAAAATGTGCTTTGAACGTTTGAACTTAAATTTTCATAAATAAATTCACGAATACATCGTATTAAAATCGCATAAATATAAACAACACAACGCTTACTATTATGTATCAAATATATAATGTATTGTATAGAATTTTAACAATTCTAGTTAAACATTTTTATTTTTAACTAACTGTGTTTTCATATATTTATTATAAATTGGTTTTAATAGTTTTATTATTGTTCTTGAAATCGAAAAATATAAAGAGTATTATAAAAGAATTGATATATTATATACACTTATGTGTTTATATGATTATATCACATAAAATATTTAGACAATATAGTTAATAACCACAGAAGCTCACACCCATTTTTTTTTTTTTTGTAAATTTATGGCATACGCTAATGTTGTTATTAGTCTAAAACACAATGTGACTCATTTTATACTGCACGCCTAGAATTCTAATTGGTTATGGATTCTAGTTTTAATATTACATTTTTATCGTTCCTTGAAATGTTTAATCAGGCAACTTAAATAGCACACATACAGTTATACAGGCGTATGTAATATATAAAAGGAAATTTATGACAAATAATGTTAATAACAAATTTCAAATTTCAAATAATTACGTTTCAAATTATTTCAATAGTTATTATCAAATAATAATTATATATATTAAAATTTAGGAATGTCACTCTGCTGAATAGTAGGTTAAATTTGAATTAAATTACAAATCATTACCTACAAAAAACGATCCTAGCAAAAATCGCGTTAGCGTTAGCCTCTAATTTTTAGGATATTTTATAATTTATTTATGTTATTAATAATTATTCTGTAGTTTGAACTAATTTTTGACAAAAACATTACAGATATATATAAATATATAATAATTATTATATCATTATACGTTGTTGTTATTAACTTATAAAGTCAACACTGACGTATAGTTGAATTAGTTTAAATATTTTAAAAATTTAGTATTTTATTAAAAATTGTATGTTCTTAGGATTAATATTTTTTAAATTATAACAAAATTACTAAAACCGTTATAAAAAAGACGTAATTATTCATTTGGATATCCAACCCGAATATGTAATATTATACAGTGATTAAAATATTATACTATATCATTGTGAGTACACATGTAACTGTTAAATTTGTGCATAGTTCTCGAATATTATTTAACAATAACTTACAAAAATTGTTACTTTATTGTTTTTGGTAGAAAATAGCATCCTTAAAAGCTAGAAGCTTTTTTAATACTCTTCAATGCAAGGTCATAAATCACTATAAATCTATACATCACAATGTATTAAATCGAAAAATACATAATAAAATAATTTATAGTTTAATAAACACCACTAATAATTTCGTTGTATTGAAATTTATATATGACAAGCATATAATCCAAATTAAAATTGTACATGCATGTTTGTATTATTGTATATTATGTTTCTATACATTTTTAGTTGATTTTATTAATCTTGTTTAAAAATAATTCTTCTTTTGAATTATAATCTTCTTAAATTTCTTGTTTTAAATCCAATTCATCAAAAGTTAAATCAATTTGATATAATTTCAATTAATTTTTCATTTATTACAATATGATTGTTATTGAGAATAAAATGTAGTGAGTTTATGGTTGAATATGTGGCAAACCTAAATGACTATAGAAATAATGACATGATTTTATAAATTGTAGAAACTCTATATAAATAAACATTAAATACTTTTAGTTTTATTGTTTAATTTTTTGCTTTTTATAAGAATTAATCGTGGTATTTATAACTATAATAATTGCATATTCGTTTAATGTGATATTATATTACTGTAATATATTTAACTTATATAAGATCGTTATTGAATAATTATCAGTACTATTAAATTTATATGCAGCACCTGTTTTTAGGATGTTCTGTAAAAAATTGTTAATATCTTAATTATGATGAATGCTTATTATCTCATACGATATATAATCGCTTCTCAGCCTATATCGACTAAGATCAAAGTGTAGCATACAATATTTAAACGCATTTAGCTAATTTTGTTATCTCCCGCCTAGGATATGCAATTTTTTTATTTCTAAAGCTTTACTGACCTTTTACAGATTTTATAAAGGAAGAAAACTGGTCTATGATTAACCGTGGTGATCCGTTTAACTTGTTCAACTCAAGTAACAATAATAAACAGATGCCTGTGAGGATGCATTATGATAACAACGATCCTGGTGTGCATGACGACGACGACGACAACGACACAGTGTTGTTCTACAGGGACAACCTGCAGGATCATCATTCGTGGATGAATGGTGCTGGTGGAGCAGCATTGACTAACGGTTGCGGAAGCGGTAGCGGTAGTCTATTGCAGTTCGAGAGCCTAGAGAAACAATGTGAACAAACCGTGTTTCGGACTACCGCCACCGCGACACCGTTCATGACCAACAGCGCCGAATCCCTGAATGCCGTCCAACGTCCGGCAGGCGTGGTACGACGGCAAAACTGGAAACACCAACCGACGTTGGAAGATGACTGCGGCACCACCATGGCCGCCGTTATTGATGACGACGAAGCTGTGTTGTGCAGCACGCCGTTCTCAAGTTACGCCGGTGATGGATCTAGCGTCAAGTCGCTAAGCAAGAGCATGGAGAGCGTGCATTCGACCGCCAGCCGGAAACGATGTAACAACAGCTGCAGAGACGGCATCAAAGATGTGTCGCAGAGTTTGGATGAGTTGCGTATGTTCGGTAGGGACGACGGGCAATACGACCCGGCGGTGGTGGTTGTCGGGGCGACGTGCGCCGCGTCGCAACCGGCCACCGGCATGTACAAAACGGTCGATTGTCTCATCGACCCAGCGTATTGCGGGAAAATAGACGACGATGACGATGAAGACGAAACTGATGGTAAAAAACAAGAAGACGTTATACAGGGCGTTGGATGTAAGCAGCAACAGCAGCAACGATCGTCCGAGAACTTGAGTGAAGATAGTGGTTTCGGGGATCAGGTGCCCCGCGGTCCTGCCACACAACAAACGTACAAACCTATTGCTGAGGACGAAAACTATTTTGAGATGTCGACGAAGAGTATCGCGACGATCGCCGCCGCCGCCGCCGTTTCTACCACGACCGCTCAGTGCTCAGTCGCAGCCAAAGGGAAGGGGACGGACGACGACGACGACGCCGACGCCGAGATGAAATCTAAATTTAGCGCAGCTTGGCACAGCTATCCCGATCTGGGCGATCGGCCGTCAGTGACTACGGAATCTCCTACGACCGACGACGACGACGACGACAACCGCCGGCATCACCACCACCATCATCACCACCGCGACGGTACCGCGATGGCGTCACGTATGCCAATGTCAAGCACACCCAACCTGTGCGCCGACGGTTTGCTGGCGCACACTGACGGTGACTATTTACGCTCCAAAAAGCTGCTGGACTCCACTGTTTCATTAGACAGATCTCATTCGCTGAAGCGCATTCATTACGAGAGCGAGTCGGCTCTGAGTGCAGCCTCTTCGCGTGGTAGCAATCTACTGATAACTACAAGTTTCGTGAATTTAGCTACCGCGCCAACGCCCAACAAAGGCGTACATTTTTGTCCGGTCGTGTCCGAAGTGAATTGGCGCGAGAGCTTCAGCAGTAGTAGCTGCACCGACATCGGTGGTGGCGGCGGCGGCGGCAGTGTGGGTGAAGACGATAACGGGTCGGACGAACCACCGGAAACGGAAGACTACGAAGACTATGACCGGATCAGTAACGAAGCCGACGAAAACATTGACTCGATGGTAATGAAACTGTTGACCGGTTTACCGTCGGAAACCAGGCGTCCGAGTGTGGCAGAAAAACAACAGCTGCGCGAACGACTGGACTTCATTACGGGCGGCTCCCCACCAATGTCACATAGGATAGTTGCCGCGCCCACTAATAGCACCGCTGCCACCGGTTCCAACAGCCACGGTCGCAGTGTTCAATCGCGACCGACCGAAGTCGATGCGCCCGCTGTTGTCGCCATGTCCGCTAAACCGAAAACGATCGGCGACAAGCTCGGTGGATTTTTCCAACGGTTCTCCTTGCGCAGACTGAGCGGCCGACGAAATAAGGATAAGAAGAAACACAAGGTGGAAGACTGCAACGCGGCAACAGCGGCGTCGGCACAGTTGAATAATAATAATTGCAGGCCCGATACACCACCACCCCCGCCGCCCGTCGCGGGACGACCGTCTAGTGCGACCGCCGCCGCCACCTCGGATAGGGGTAAAAAACCGCCGTTACCCCCGCAACCCCCGTCAGTAGATGGATACGCTACGCGCCGGCGCCTCATGTACGACGAAAATCGCGGTAGCCGACTGCCGCCACCGCCGGCACTGCCGACGGCTGGCAGTCGTGCGTCTCTGCAATCGCGGACGCCCGTCGCCGTTGCCATGTCCCGTCCGGATAACCGGGCCGGTCTACTCGAGACCGATTTAGACTCAAATGTGACCAGGACGTCGTCGTCATCGCTCATGATGGGCGGCGGTGGTTGTAGCCCCAACAAAAAAGCCCGTAGTCTGCTGGACCTGGGCGCTTCGTCGACAAAATTGTCTCTGGCCCCCAACGACTCAAACAGATCGTCCGCGGACGGTTCGTCCTCAAACACAACCGATTACAGGGCTAAATCCATGGAATTTCTGTTGGATAAGGAAAATCAAGCTGCTGTTCAGGTAAGAAACTATAGTCATTTTATAAATTACGCGTAGATCGTCAATGTAAATGTGTAGGTATTCGCAGTATACACGCCTCTAATTACGACACCGTGCATACGACGTATATTTATACTATTGAAATAACCATAGGTGGACATTAATTTAATGTTAATCAAATAAAAGGATGATTTAAACAGAAATTATTTATATAGGTCAGTGGGAATAATTTGGGTGGTAGCGAATTTTGTGGGTCAGTCAGTACACGTGGGGAGAGGGGCCGTTTGTCAGAACGTAATCAATACACTCAGCGCAGCATCGTGGCTCAGTACAATCGGTCAACAGTCATTCTTTAATCTTAGTTTTCCAATGATCTTAAAGTTACGATCAAAATATTCTTTGATGAAAATATGTTAATAATAATTACTCGCTATTATACATATATTTGGGTACTTATAGCACAAATAGGAAACATTTTCTGATGGCTAATAGGTACCCTGTTTTTTTATAAGTAAATTTTTTCTCTGTATAAACCCCTGATTGTCCCTCATTGTTGATGTTTTGACTTGCTCATCGTGATATAAAATATTTTTTTATTAAATGAATACCATTTATTTTAAGAAATATTTTAACATTTTTGAAATCAACTGTATTTTATTACCTAGTTTACTTGTGTAGTGTTAAATTTTTCTCAAAAAACAATTTCAAAAATATATCTATTGATTTTACATTATTTTTGTGTACTTGTGTATCGTATACTATCACCGAACCCTTTACTACATAATAGCCTCCAATGCGTGTGGCAATAATTTCACTAAAACGCGTGTTCGAAGTCCTTCCCATTCAATGATTTCACAATATGATATGTTTATTAAAAGGAGTAATAAACACGGGAAAAATTCTTTAACGATTTTCAATGAACTATAAAAGCGTGATAATAATAAATTATTAATTAAATTAGCGCAGCAAACAGTAGATTCCTGGCTGCGAATACTAAACTGTAGATGTATACCTTGGTCAATGGTGGAATAGTCATTACTTGTTAGTTAGAAAATTATTTACGGTTTTATTTAATTTAAAACAATTGTTTGATGAATTTTGCATTATTTATATACTTATATCTTTTATCGTATCGATTACTTTATATACTATAGTCTTATATAGTTGTAATGACATCAGACACATACTAATTAGATTTTAAATAATTTCATGATGCGTATTTTAATTACACAATTGCGTAGTTTAGAGGATCTAAATAATACGGCTTATGACTGATTTTAGAATTTTTCTTTTAATTTATTATTAGGCACTTTTCAATGGTTATTAATTAATAGCTATATTATAAGATGAAAATAATTTATTTGTATTATGTTTATTGCATTTTCATTTTTACACTTTTATATTTATACCTAAATATGTTGTATTACAACAAAATATTTAATAATATAAAATTAATAATTATTAATTATAATTTATACTTTATATTTTACTATATTATTGATTTTACACTCATTGATCAATGGCAAGTTCAAATAGTTTAATTAGAACTACTAAAAAATGTATTGAGGTTTTCACTCGATGTTAAAGTTAGACGTAATATACGTATTAATTATATTTGTTTCAATATAATATTATTTATTTATCTAATATTGAATACAAAGCTAGCATTATATTCTCATTAAATATTTTATTTATTCATATAAATTACTTATGCATATTAGTTCTGGCATATGTAATTTTTTGTAAATTTATTTATATTGGCACATCGCAATAAAAACGTGTATATTATACTAACAGTGAAAAAACATGATTTTTAATTTTTATAATATGATTATCATAAAATATTATTATTTTGTTATATTATGATAACCCTATATACAAATATACATAGTGTGATTTACTTTTTCTATACGAGTTAAATTTAAAAGGAGATTTAGTTACTTTATATTTTCTATTACAATATCACTGAGTGGATTATAGCTGTAAATAGTAAAAGTATTTGTAGGTTATTGTAAAATTTTTAATCAAATATCAATGCTATGAAATTTACACTGAACATAATAGGTACATATGTATTGCTCAAATATGATATTTATTGGAACTATTTAATTTATCTATTAATTTATCAAATTTAATATATTTTATTTTATTATTTTAAAATAGTAATGTTAATAAAAACCATGATAAAATATTAAAATCTATTTTCATATGCGTTTATTTTCTATTACTTGTAGATTTATAATATTTTTTTAATGATCATATTAGAAAAATATTAAAATATTTCATTCTTTAATATTTGATATTTTATTAGAGAATAGATATATTATATAATAATTTTTTTCTTTAGAAATAAAATAAAAAATATACCTATTTCACATTGTCAGTTCATTATAATAATTTATACTTACAGTATCGCCTTCACTTCTTAAACGCCCACTATCTACTGTCCTACTCATAAATACCAAACTGTATGCGCGCATATTTGTTGACTGTTGCCATAGTAAAATTACGGTACAATGCATATTATTTGCATTTATGTGCATTTGAAATTGTACTTTGAAATTATCAAAATATTATACACAAATTACGATTGAAAAAGATTTGTTTTATATTTTTAGAATAAAATGATAAAATTGTAAAACCATGACGTAAGATTAAAATTATTTTTAAAAGTTAAAAACTTGAAAATAAAGCGAAATTTGTACGTTATTTTTAACGGGCTGGTTTTTATTTTTGACAGAGTATTTAAAAATAATCTATAGGATATAATCTACGTATAAGTTCAAACTTGAGATTACAAGTAAATGTTTACTTATATTTAACTTTTATGTGGTGGATCCATTGATGTTTTTCAACGTGTTACTTAAGCACAATGCCTAACCGCACATAGGATATCTATGCACATGTAGGCCAATCAATAATTCATAAAGTCCACCTACTTCATATTCCCCTTCTTATATTGTCAACATGCCAACATGCATTGTGTACATTATTTTAATACAGTACATTTTTGTTTTTTTAGTCTTGGTTTTACTGACTCCGTTAAGTATCCTAACTGTTTATTTTTAATGTCCAGGAAAAAATGGTTTCTATAGGACTTGTTGCCAAATCCTGTACACACTATATATGAGTATAATAATATGACTGGTTAGGACTAAGATAGTTTGTCTATTTTGTACAAATTACAATTATTAATGACGTGACTACTTGTATGTTTAATTTTATCATCTAAGAAGTAAAACAATTTTTGATAAGTAACATATTTATAACTATTTAAATTTCAAACTAAACAAATCACATTCATTTTCATTACTATAAAATATCTTAAAACAATTCTGTAGACTTTATAAATATTGTCATTATTTTTTAAAAGAATTCAAAATATACATACTTATTACTTTAAAAGTTATAAATTTGAGAAACTTATTATTTTATAATATATATAATTTAATATCTAACGTACTTATCATAAAGTATATTTATTTTGCTATTCTTCATAAAGTTATATAAATTATCTATTAGGCAACATTTTTACTCTTCATTAATATGTTGCAAAGTATCTACAAATCTTAAACTTCATCAACATAATTTATTATTTAATTATACTTATAATTATACAATATATTAACTACAAATTTTGCTTATCAATAAATTTGTATATTTTTAGTAATACGTCTAAAATGTATTTTTTTTTTTTTTTGTAAAATAAGTTTAAAAAAAAATAAGCTATCTTAAAAATCTCTTCCAATTCTTTTAATAATTTATTAACAAACATAATAATATGATATGACGTATAGTATATTATATATGACAAATGTAAATTATGTGACCCACATTATTCGCGTATAAAAATACACATCACCTATTAAATAGTTAAGTTTGTTGAATCATCTATAAACAATCAAACTGCAACCCTTACCACAATTTTCCATAAATTACTGATAATTTACTTCGCTATAGCTGTGGTAAAAACGGTTTTGAAATAAAAGTTCACCTTGTAATTCCCTTCCCTTCTCCTCTATTCACGCAGGCTGTTTGACAATGTCGTGTGTGTCAGCTCAAACTAGGGCTCATCGTGACAGGTAGGCGGTACCGCCAGTTCGTAAAATAGAGATAACTATGTACAGAGTGATTGCATACAATTTGTTCTAATTTCTAACCATATAAATCATTGATCTGCATGATTATTGTTATTTTTTATTGTTTTTTAACTACATATAATTATATTACTTAACTAGTAGTAATATTTTATTTATTATATTATACGTATACTATAATTATTACACGCTTACTAATTTGTGCGTTTTAGCAATTATTTTTCAAGTGCGATTCTTATCTAATCCGTCTATTTGAATAATAGAATATTCTATTTTCACATATCTACAAGTTAGTGTGTAAATTTCAAAGTATTTGTATATTGATAATACTTATACTGAAGTTTTTAAAAAATTTTATTTTGTATTATTTTTTTCTCCAATATCATCTATTGTTTATTTGAAAAAATATAGCTAAAATTTTGAAAGGTTCAGTGCATGTTGTTATAAGGCATAAGTAATATGTTTAAATATTTTAATAACGCAGCAACTAAATAAAACAAGTAAATTATTAGTTCTATAAATAATAATAATAATAATAATTTACTTTCAAGTTTTTCCATGATATTTTATATCCGAATAACGCTGTAGAGTCATGATAAAATATGGCTCACGCTATAATATTTAAAGACAAAAGCCGAGTAGGCGGAGTCGGTTTGATTACTGTCAAACGTCAAATCCTTCCGTGTATTGTTTTAAAGTCTCTTTAGAAGTGCAGTCTGTTAAAGCCTATACATAGTCTTTGCTGCACAGAAAAAGTATGTACTACCCACATTTCAAGTAATATCATCTTACTCATATGGACTTTTATCAAATTAAACAGCCGTGCTATCTGTACCGCTGTAAGATAAAAAATCTCGAGGTATTTTATAAATATATGTTAAATTTGTTGTGTTCATTAAAAAATTTTCGTAGGTTGCAAATAGTGTCATTTTCATTAATGTATTTATCTGCTATTATTATTTTATGCACCATATCTTTTTTACCAGTAATAGTTAACTTTTATATTTTTATACTGCATCATATTACATAGACAATTAATATATTAATTGATGGCTAATTCTGAAATTATAAAGACCTTTTAAAATATTTGAAATTAATTTAAAAACACTAAAATCAATTAAATTCTTCCTAAAACATGTCATTGATCTATGTACGTATATTATTGTGTATATATTAGATTCTGAGTGGAGTGACGAATGTATTGATTTTACTATTATGTATGTTTTTATTTTTATTTCTTTAGATACTTTTTCTAGTGGAAAAAATACTCTAATCATAAACTTCGAAAGAGGTTTCTGGTAGCTCATGTAGTTTGTACTTTAGTGGATCAGGAGTCAAAATTATTTTTTAAATAATCAGGAAAAACAAACAAAAATACGAACACTTATTAAAATTGTAATATTACTACAAAAATAATTATTAGGTAGCCGTGGTTACCAATAAGTTAAATTGTCTCCGCAGTTTTTCGTATACGATGATAGGGAGGAATATTATTGGATTGAAATTTAATATATCCATTACATTATTACAGAGGCCCAATCTATGACTATGTATATTCGACACTTATTGTACTGCAGAGCGATTACCTACTTAATTAAATTTTTATTATTACTTAATTGGACTTCAAATTTTACAGTATTTTAATTTATTTTTGGTTTTATTAATAGATTATTTGTGTTTCAATTTTTATTTCATTTTCGCGTGTTATGTTTAAATGTTTTCTGAAGTACTATTTACTATATAGAAGGTGACCTACTTATATTCAATAAAGTTGTCTACTTTATTAATTGTTAATACGATCGAGATTGATTCAACCTATTTGACATTCATATGCATTGTTTATCTACCTGATAACAATTATTAAAGAAAAAGTTTTTTATCAGATTCTACTATTTTCATGGTTTTAATGTTATTTGTATCTATATTAATATTATCGTAATACTAAATTTAGGAACATTTAAAATGATTAATAAATTAATTTTAATGTTTCAATTTACACTAATACAGTTTTCTTATACACTGTGCATATTTTTATTTTTATTTTTTATAATACAAATATAAATGGTATACATATAATAAAAGTATATTTTCAGCATTATCATCTGGTTAGTTTGACGATAAAATACTTAACATCATTTTTTCTGCTTATAATTTTTAATATCTAGTTATACGTATATACACTATCATCTATCATAATATGACATCATTATGCTAAACGAATAAACGAAGAGTCATACTGTAAAATATTATGTGGTCATGCAGGGACATAACGCAGGTCTTTTAAAATTATAAGAAATTAAATTGATTGGTATCTACGTAGTCTTCATTTCATTTTCCCCCATTGACCTTAAAACATGATAGTGTTTGATGAATTTTATCAAACAAATTCAAATTTGAGATTAAGATAAATAAATCATTAAAGGTATTTCATAGTTGCTATAAATAAATAAATGAATTTACTTGTCTAAAAAAAAAATCCAAGTTCTTTAATATGCCTACATTCTCCAGAAATTTATATTTAAATAAACTTTTTAATTATATGCAATGTAATGTCATTATGTGACAGTCACTCCCAGTAAAACACATTCCAGAACCTATTTTTTTTTTTTTTTAAATAATCTAGTGGTGTTTATGTGGAACGGATGAAACATGAATCCGAAATACGTCCGTGATAAAAATAGTACAAGAGTTGTGACCATTGTAGTAATTAGGAAATAATATTATGGAGAAACTACTCTACCATTTTTATACGTTCGTTTGTTTGAACGCTTACAAAAAGTCAAGAATAATTTATTATTCAACCAATTAGTGTGTCTCTTAAAAAATAAACAGTTTGAATACTTACATTAATACATACCTGAATGTATTGATAACATATTGAAATTTAAATGTATCTTTTTATGGTACCTTTAATTATTATATGAACCAGATACTAGTAATTAGAGCACGGTATTCGCTAGCAAAATTGAAAATAAATGTAAAGTTAGGTTAGATTAATAAAAATTCATTAAATAGAAAATTTTCAATTGAAAACGCCAGATTTTTACTTTAAATTATTAAGTTAATCTTTTTTTTTTAATGTTTATGAATCCAAATCAAAGTTCATATACGAGTAGTTTCTAAATTAGGTATTAAAATGTTTGCTTACATTAAGAAATGAGAATTATAGTTAAAACTAAATACTACTTTTTATAAATTGTTATGTAAATGAGGTCCCTACTCCCTATATAGATTTTACATTTTGTTTTTTTTTCAATACATTTTAAACTTTTATTATTCAAATTCAATATTTAGTGAACAGCATTCACTACTTATTAATTAATAAAAATTGAAAATATGCATGTATTTTAAAATATGCATGTATTTTAAAATAACTAAATTTATCTTCTCCGAATATTAGTATAGTTCCTATATAATTTAAGATAATTATACGTTTTATTAAATGCTTAAAGTTATCATTCTAAATATTATATACTTATATTATGTTTATTTTTATTTAATATTTCTTTTCCGATAAAGAAAACGCCGCTTCTGGCAACTCTGTATGTGTTGTCTCTGTCTTAGAAACTTAACAAAATATAATAAATTTTGCATTTACAATAATCCATATTATTCGTTATCTTTAAAATTAGAGTTAATTGACCTTTTAAAAATATATTTTCATGTAAATTTTAGAATAATTAAAATATTAATAAAAACCACCGATTTTTCTTAGATAATATTATTATTAATTATTATACCTTTAAAGTGTATAATTTATGAATTGATTTAAATTTAAAAAGTAAATTAAACATTTCGAATAAAAAAACAATGATTATTTTGAATGTATTTACAATTTGTTATGTTTTACATTTCTACACAAACTTCTTATAATACAAAGACAATATAATGGAATACTCTTAAGAAAAGTCAATTCAGTGTTAGTTTTTTTTTCATTTATTGTCAATTAAAAATTGTAGAATAATATATTATACATAATTTATACAGTTATCGAAAATTCTAAATTAAATATAATATCAATCAAGTATTATATTATTAAATAACTAATTTATATCTAAATATCATAATTTAGTTTGGGAACCTTACATAAAATTACTAAAAGACAATTTTGGTTTTAACAGTTAACTAAACACTATATATTATATTTTTTTGAAATAATAAACGTTAAATTCTACTGATACCCACAACAATGTGATCAAATGTTTGAATACCTAGTTATACTATCTTAGATATTTGATACAAATATTATTTTAAACAAACTGCCTATAATTTATATTATATCAGTATAATGCTTATCATTTATCAATTAATTAACAACTTTTCGTTAAAGGTTCCTATCTTGATAGGTTCATATATAGATTCAATAGTTCATGATTAAAACCAATAGGTAAATTACAATTCAATGTACAATGTACATACTGTATAGGTACTTCTATTATCTAAAAATAATATATATCAATGTTTATTGACTATTGTATGCCGACCTTTGGTGAAGAAGGTAATTAGGTAATTGATATAGGCCCCGATAACAATTTAACGATCATACAATAAAATAGGAAATAACGGTCATTGCAATTTTAGACACTATACTGTGTTCTGATCGGATGGAATTAAATTTGTGAAATATTGTTTTAAATTGCATTAATTTTTTTTTTTGAGTAATTTTTTTGTATTCTGCGTCATTCATTCTTTAAATATAATTTCTTAAGTTTCTAAAAAATTTAACATGGACCGATTTGGAAAATGGTTGGACGAAGATGAATACTTGTTCACGAAATCAATGCACGCTTATATTGAGAGTCGTATAATTTGGGACCTTAAACGATTACCAATGTCCGTGTTTCGCATGAAAAAGAATCGTTATGAAAATAAAGAATATCGTTATAGTGTCAGTGCTTATTAATGGTGTCTTTTGCGAATTTTTAATTACTATTAATTTCCAGCTATAAAATGTATACTTTTTGTTTTTAGGCTCCAGAAAATGAACTTCGTAAAGTAAATGTCAACAATGGAGAAAGAATACTCTCTGAACATGAGTTGCGCATACAGCGTTCTTTGCAAAGACTCAATCTTCCTGAATGGTACAAAACATGCAATGTACCGGCTCAAGGTTTTATTTTGAAGAGACACAGTGATGCTGGTTATACAACCAGTATGTCTAGTCTATCATCAAACCAATCACAGTCACCAAAAATGTATTCTAATTACAGTAAGCAGTATTTAAAATAAAACATTGCAATGTTCGTTTTTTTTTTTTTTTAAATTAAAAATGTATTTTTGTTTCAGATAATACACTGCTTAGCCCCCAAACACATGCTGCAACTAAGAATTTTTCACGTTGGAGTACTAGCCGTTTGAATGGATCAAATTCAAATAGTACATCTCCTTGTAGTTCCACACGATCATCATTTAACTATCGTCAACCATATTTGGGTTGGAGATCTCAGGAAAAACTGTCCAAACCTAGAACCCCAGCTGAACGGCTTGCTGCTGGATTACTTGCTCAACAACAACATGAACAGGTAATTTTTATAATGAAGGTATCATAATGATTTTTTATCTTATTAATTTTAAACCTGTTGTGTAAACTTTGTAAATATTAAATTTTCTTTTATTAAATAATAAATAGATGTTACACCCTATAATTACACCCTTTACATGTAAAAACCCATAACTCATACTATCTCCAACCAGAACTATTATTTAAAAATAACATAGGTCCATAAATAATTAAATAGTTAAATAAGTACTATCTACAACTTAGGATTTCAATACTAATAGTTTTTCATTAATAAGGATAACTAATATAGAAACCTCTGATACTTTGAATACCTATCATAAAATAAATGATAAATATTATTTAGTTATTTGCTCTATATTAGATTATTATTTCTTTGTTATAAAGACATGTCAAACAAGCTTATCTGAAGTACAGTCATCAATTAAAGAAGTAACATCAGCTATAGCCAACTATGTATCGTCGTCAACACCAGATGGAAGTAAAGAAAGGCTGAATACTGATCAAGATACCCCATCTAGGTAAAAATGAGATACATAGCAATCTAAAAATATTTTAAATTTAATCTATTTTGAATTGGTTTTTTTTTTTTTAGATGTCCGTCATTCAAAGGTAGCACAGGTCGTTTATGTTGGCTGGAAAGTTCATTCGTGGGCAACAAGCGTCCCAGTTTAACAAGAGACACTCCACCATCAGAGTTAAGTACGCCACCATCACATCGAAAGGCTAAACCTGTCAGACAAACTCAAAACAATAGTAATTGGGTCAATGGTGAGTGTGAATATACGTAGACAAGGCTTGCAGCCACGTACAAAAAAAAATTGGACACTGCCTGCTGTGTAGAAGCTGATAAAATGCTTATCGAAACAATATCATATGATATAGCACTTGAACAGCTTTTGTTGGACTACCTTTAGATTTTATTTATTTATTTTGTAATTTGTTTTCGTTTTAGTATAAGCGAGTTAGTTGTTAATAATGTTTTATTTTTTTTTTATGTATGTTGCACTCAAGCAAAATTTAAACATTGTAGATTATTTTTTTTATTATTATTTATAAATAAGTTGAATGAAAACGTAGAGCATGACAAAATTAATGAATTTTTTTTGTATGTTTAATTCTTTTAAGTATTAATGAATTGATTTCAATTGTTAATGTTATAATAAGAAAAAAAGGTAATGTTTAATTAATTAGAAAACTCACTGGGACATTTCAATACATTTTTGTGTAAATATTTCTTTAAACAAGAAATTATTTGTTACTTGATTATAAAACCAATTTATTTGTAATGAACTGAGACATTATAAATAAAAAAAAGTGAAGTATAAATTTTTAATAAACCTATACATTGTATACAAATGTTGTCAAGCATTAACAAATCTTAATGGTTATTATTTAAAGTTAATTTTTGTGGTGTTTATTATGTGGAGCTAAAAATATTAAGAAATTGCAAATATATTTTTTATTTTGTACGTCAATAACTGTAAGTAATATACAAATATATGGTGCTAGATAAATTGTAATATTTTATCAAACCATTCACGGAGAACAGTATTTTAAAATCTGTTTTAAGTTTAAATTACCTAACATAATATGTACATTCTTAACAATGACAGTTTTTTGTATATGCTCTTAAAAAATATTTTTTTAAGTATGAATGCAGTACTATCTGCGTTATTAGTTTCAATATGATATTATATAAATTTAAATAGGTTTTTAAATGTATTATATTGCTTCATTTTTGAGAACCTAACAATACATTTATTTTCATTAACCATAATTCATACTTATTACATTTATTCATGATTTATTGTTTAATAATAAATATAATTTAAAATTAGATATTATTACAAAGATAACCATTTATGTATCTCGCATACTTCCCTCGGTGCTGCAAACTATCATCATTTCAGTTAAAATTTAAAAACATTGTTGTATACAAATATTTATTTATCATATAATTTTAATTGTATTTGATTTAAAAAAATTATAGTTCTTTATAAATTATGTTCTATATAATAAATATACATATATTTATATTATATATGTTGCTTTTTAATGTTACTAGTTAAATGTTTTTTTTATCATATTATTATGTATATATACAATTAATAATAAGCTAATTTTAGTGTATAGTTATAAAAATTTCCATATTTCAAACATAATGATGTAATCATTTTTTGACCAGTGAACTAAATATTTGTTACTCAAACTTCAAAGTTTAGGGTTAGTATAAATACCATGAACTTTTTTTATTTATTTTATTAATTGAATTTTACATTTTTAAAATTTTTTACATACTATTATGAACAATATTAATAATTTAATGTTTAAGCAATCCTACTTCAACCTTATACATTATATTATTATAATTTTTAATTTTTTTACATTGAATATGAAATTATTTCGGATATAACTTAATAAAATATTAATATGTTTTCAAATAATTTATCCTTCCCTCATATCTTAATCTTTAATTAATAGTAGTTTCTAATTTATTCAAAAATTACTCTAAATTAATTTTTATTATATTGTTCTTTTACCTCGCCAGTAATACTATATTATTGTAGACTAATAAATTTATTTACTCTACCTAATAAATATTTTGTTCACTAAATAAACAAAATTTGCTGCTAAGTTTTGTAATTGTATCATAATAGTCGCATAGATACATCAAACAATATTGTTTAAGTATGATAATGCAAGTTATTTTATTATATATACTTTTTTTATTTAAATATAATATATTATATATATTATAATGTAAGCTGCGCTCTGTTTTTCCCCAAAAAAAATTAATAACAATAAGACAATAATAAAAAGTGTATTTTGTTTACAATTTTAAATGTTTAAAAATAAATTGCTTTCACAGCTAAATTACATTTTTTTTTTTTTTTTTTGTATATATTGTTTCATGTCATAATATTTCTTAAATATTATAACTAGGTATGATACAACCAAACTATTGTTAGAGCATTTTTCCATTACATTTTACTTTCTATAGTGCCATTTCGTGCATGTGTTTTCTCAACGCGATTTTTATTATTTCACTGCGCCATATGCATTATTTATTATATTGTTTTCAACCTGCTGTAAAATATTGAGCTTTATCATGTCGTTCATTAAAATTAATTTTAAATATTATTATTATATTGAGAAAATTTTTTTATTTCTTTTGCGATTGTTGAGAATTCACTTTTCGGCACGAATAATTACAGATCGGCCGAGTCCCGGTTCGACGACTATGGACGACGTCCTAAACTCATTGTTAGGGTTGCAACTCCAAGGGACGACTGCTAATAACGCTAGGTATCACCACCACCTACCCCATCAACACCGTCGCGGCAGCGATGCCGACGAAAGCAGCGGTAGGGACCTTAGGCGAAGGCCTTACGCTGCTTCTGGTATGGCCAACGTGTAAGTGTGTTAAAAATGCGTTTTTATAGAAATCGCAACAACGAAAAAATCAAAATAATTTCCCCCCGCCATAGGTATTATTTCTATTTATTTTTCAACCGTAGTTGCTGTGTGAACGTTGTATATAGTATAATATATATTTTAGTAGACTATCTACCTATTTTTACCTATAATTTCTACAATATTGTATTATTATGTCGTTTATAATATGCATTAGTTTAATTATATAGTCTTCAGTCGCATTTGTGTGCTATATAGTATCGTTTTAGAAACTTTTAGAAAAAAATATTGGGATTGGTCAAATTTGTTTTTTTTTAAAAAAAACTTTAAATCCAAACTCAAATTTAATATTGTTTTATGAACTGTTCGAACTCGGATTTTAATTAATCTTTGAAACTCAAATCGAACCTGCAAATTTCAAAGAATAATAGTAATAAAACCGAGCAATGACACTTGTGAAAAAAAAAAAAATTAAAATTAAATCAATCTTTAAACTCACACCATTTCGAACTGGATTATACTGAAACTATTCGGAGTTCAATTCATCTCGAATTTCTTAAGCTCCGAGTTGTTCGAAAAGTTCAAAGAACCGTCCCTGATAAAAGAGAGCACCTAACCTAATATAATACTATCTTTAAGATTCGTGCCATCAATCTCTAACCGATGTCGAATCGCGTACGTGCGATGCGTATACAGTTTCAGGTAACGCGTCGGCGGCTGTGGCGCAATCTGCATCGACGCCGCCGAAAAAACAACACCTGCAAGCGGGACCTCCTCTGCCAAGCGGCTCGGCGGCCGGAGCGATCCGTTGCCGGTACTCGGAGTGTCAGCTGACGGCCACCGTCTCCGAAGCTCGGCGCACGTTCAAGATGTGTCACAACTGTAATCACATGTACTGCTCGAGACGCTGCCGGCGCGCGCACTGGCAGAACCACCGGAAAACGTGCTTGGACCGGCGCACGGCCACGCTGTGCCCGTCCATCGTGGATGCGATCAGGGCAAACGACCGGTGCACCGAGCGACTGTCGACGATCGCGCGGCGCGGTTACCTGACGCACGGTCGCGGGGCCGTCAAGTGCTATTTCTCGGGCGTTGAACTGGCCGACAAGTTCGTGCGGGCCGGCGGCGAGGACATGCAGTGCGAACCGGTGTACGCCAAGTGGACGGACATCGACCCGGAACTGGAGGCGCTCGGACAACTCTGCAAGACGTACAACCCGGACACGCGGTACGTGTTGCACGTGTCCGTGTGCGTGTTGAGCGAAGTACCCGGCCCGGGACCGGTGCAGTGGGAGCGGCACGTGGTGTACAAGTACGCCAAGATGCACCTGGACAAGAGTCTGCGCGCCGCCCCCACTGAAGCCTCCGAAACTACCACGGACGGCGGCGGCGGCGGCCCGGACACCCTGATACTCACCTCGTTGCCAGGACGTGACCGCAGGGACGTGAGCACCGCCCGCCGCGTGTGCTTCGTCAACATGCAGCGACATCTCCGGCAGAGGGGCGTCGAGCTCCGGCACCATTTTCCAGACGTGCACCGGAAGCTGTGCGAGTACGTGGACGGCGGCCCGGACGTCACGTTCACGCCGGTCACGGTGTACCCGCGGGACAAGGCATCTGGAAAGACGTTCATGTGCATCATCATGCCCGACGCGGAACCGGAGAAGCTGAGCCTGTTGCCCGGGGACAGTGCCAGAGTGCAAACCATCGACGTCGGTCAAGAATTCACCGCCGCCGCCATTGATAGTTGTACTCAGTGAGAACCCCGTTCTATATACTTTCCGTCGTGATGGGAGGGGGGGCGTATCTCTAAGCGTTACACTTCCTAGCTCGTGCTTGCAGTGTGCGCATATACAGTCTGCAGTGCCGTTGACTTAAAGCGTTTCGAGCATTTAGTATTATAGGTATACACCCGGCCCTGCATAATATTAAAAATTATATATTATTACGATTATGTTGGATTTTTTTGAATATTTAAACGAATTAATAATGCAGCAAAATAGTACGCGCCCGGGCCCGTCCTAGAATTATTGGGAAACTCGAATACAAAAAGTTGTATCCCGACGTTATAAAGTATGTAAACACTACGAAATCTACGACCGTTTGTAGCTCTCCCGCGACATGACAGTACTTAATATTACGTTGCAGTAATCATAGGTATTAAATATAAGAAGAATTAGAAAGTTCAAAGGAGAATTTTAATTCCTAATTAAGCTATACATAGCTATACTTAAATAGTTGTTGACGGGCACAAACGTGGTGTTGAGACACTACGTATTGTACTAGTGTCTACTTTGACAATTTATTAGGTTAGTAGTAACGTTATTGTATTTATTGTTGTTAAAAATATTTGTCTTTATTTACTTATTATTATTATTATTAATATTATTAATCATGTTATTTGTTGTTTTATTATTATTATTACTACTATTGTTGTTATTACATTTATACATATAATAATATTAATATACCTATACACCTGAGTGTATTAATTTAATTATTATATTATGTACTTCAATTGCGTTAAGCGTCAGAAATCTTGTATATCACTACCAATAGTGGCTAATATCGATACTATTCAGAAAAATATCAAATATCCTATTTGAATTAAGGATACCTGTAATGTGAATAATTTCTTACGTGATTTTTGTATAATTATTTAAGAATTTGCTTTTAATTCTTCAGCTATTCAATCATAATTGTCGAGTAAAATAACACCTGTAGTGTAAGCGTGGATGATTTAGTAAGAGTTTAGGCATAGAGAGGAGGAGATCTAAATATTTTTAAATTAAGCTCACATTTAAGAAGCAAACCAATCCTATACATAACACTCCCCTAGGCCCTAATAATGTTTTAAATATTTTTATTTTTTTTTATAAAAACTATTACTTTTATAATTATCTATCGTAGAATTATTATAATACGAGTAGGTAATAAAAATAATATTTGATATTTATCTAAATAATGATGGGACGATGGGTAACTATAGACTGTAGTGTTATACTAATTTATAATAATCAAACATACATTTAGGTGATAGTAAAAATCAAAGAGTTTTTAATTTAATTTGTATTAAATACTTGAAATGTTATTATCTGCGGGATGTATTTCAAATTTACAATTATTACAAAGTATAAAAAAAATAATCAAATAATATATAGGTACCTGTTATAATAGGTATTCGTCAAACGTGAAATAATTTAAGAGGACATATCCCTCGTAATTCTCCCCCCTTCCCTGCAAACCAATTATCGCTGTTGATGAGCCACAACACACGTCACACAGGAAAATATATAGGTACCTACTTAGACAATTCGAAAATTAGTATCGATTCGTCTTCAACATTTCCTCAATAACACCTCCGTCGATCAGTCACAAAAAAAATCCGTTACAGTTATTACTTATTATTACCTATTATAATATATTACCTAAAGAATTTTGACTAATAATATCATGTAGATCGATATCTACGATTTACACAGGTTTCAACAATTTCGGACTGTTATGGTCACTGTTTAGTGTTCATAATAACGATAATATTCTATTGTCGTGTTCTGTGGTGTTCGGGTGTTCGTAATGCAACGACAATAATGAATAAATTGCATCAGACAATGCGTATTTTGATATGTATTGTGTACACTTGTTAATTTATTTCTGTCATCTGTACACACCCACAGGCCACGACCCACCCACATGACGTATCAGCACTCCATGCGAGATACGGGCAATGCATGATTATAATATAGGAGTATTTTTGTGGGATGAAGCACTTGTCCCCTGACATTTTATAATGATGGCAAAGACATCGTTTTGTTTCTCGGTTTTCAGCTAGGTACCTATTTAAACCTATTCGTTAGATACGAGTATTATAACTCGTTATTTTTATTTTTGTCTAGTATTATTATTATAGGATTTCTTTAAAAACTATTAATTGTATCTCTTGTGCTTTTCCGTATTATTTGTATTTTTAATTTTCCAAAAGATCTAACTCAACATGGCTACATGAAGTTGACCATGTTCCATAACTAAATGTCTAAATACAGGTTGGGGCAAATACAACCCTACTTTATTCCATTTTCATCTCTGTGCTTTGTTTATTGTCATACCAAAAACAATTTTTATCGAAAATTGACGCGTAGTAAGTGAAAAGAGAATATTTGAATAACCCATATTTATAATGAGTTTTTCCGACAACAATAGCGCAGCAGACAGCAGTAGACGAAAGTACCTATAGTTATCTTTGTGGAGGGCTATGACTCATAATTATGTTGTCACACCAGTTCCCTTTTTAAAATACAGAAAATATATTGTTCTATCATTTAGTACAAATTTGTACATCCAAAGGGGCTAATATAAATTAAAAACTCTTTAGGAGGTTGGAGTGACGTCACACCAGCTATCCACTTAAGAATATGAATTTTTTTTTACAAATTTTTACACTCTATTTGTACGTATTTGAACGCGCAATATGAACATTTGTTTGCTAATAGTTTAGCAAGGATCACGAAATACTGTTTCAAAAAGAGGTACGGATGACAAAAAGCGAAAGGTACTTAGGTTATCTTAGGTAATCGAATATATATATTATAACAATATGTATAATTTTATAAACACATTATGACATAAATTTTCACCTGTGGCTAAATACACTCTTTGGGATAAAAAGTTTATGACGGGATATATATATATATATATATATATATATATATATTACGGGAAAAGCTATATTACGGGATAAGCTATATTGCGGAATGCGGGATAAGGTATATTACGGGATAAAGCTTACTACAGGATAAGCTATATTACGAGATAAGGTATATAACGGGATAAGTTAAATTACGAGATAAGGTATATTACGGGATAAGGTATATTCAAGATAAGGTATATTGCGGGATAAAGTAAATTACGGGATAAGATAAATTACGGGATAAGGTGTATTACGGGATAAGATAAATTGCGGGATAAGGTGTATTACGGGATAAGGTATATTGCGATATAAGCTATATTACGGGAGATATATATATTGCGGGATAAGTTAAATTATGGGATAAGGTATATTACGGGATAAGCTATATTACGGGATAAGCTAAATTACGGGTTAAGGTATATTACGGGATAAGGTATAATACGGGATAAGCTATATTACGGGATAATATATATTTCGGAGTGAATTATATGTTATTGAATATTTAATCATTTGTGCTCACTCAGCCGATAATTGGTTCCTCCTTTTAATAATTTTTAATTATTTGTTAAAATAGTGTGATATTTATTACTGCATATTGCACTTGTTTTAACTCATTGATAATGTAAATCATTTTGTTGATAGGTACAACAAGATTCTTTTTTGAATATTAAATTACACGATATTATTGGGATTGAAGAAAGATAAGTTTTAAAGGATTTTAAAAAATAGAAAATATATTGTGTATTTAAAAATTGAATAAATTATACTACTCTCTTTGTCTCTGTATATATGTCTGTAAACGGTAGATCCGAACAAAGATGTAAAGGGACAAGAGACAACGTTGAGAAAGTAGATAGAGCTAAAATGAATTAACAAATGCGATGGTATATGAACTAAATCAAAATGTCCTTTAATATTTACGAAGGCAGCAATCAGAAATTCACTTTTAAAAGAGGTTAGATTGGTAGATTGTCAAAAGAATGGAGAGAGCTCATATTTAAACTTCTCCAAAAGCCAAACATGTATTAATGTAATATAAAAAGCGGTATTATTTTCAGAGAAATAAATTTAGGCGATTTTTAAACATAAAATCCATTATTTTGAAGAATATTTATTAAAAGGCATTATATCTTTAGTCAATAGACTATGGGTATAGTGTTTGATTAAGGCAGTCGTTCTTAACCTTTTTTGTCCACAAAATGCTTGGGTAATAATTAAAATTCTCAAAGCACCCTATATACTGTGATATGTATAAATGTGAATATTTCTTATCATTTTACAGAATATTTAAGGCCATTTTATGTTCCACGGCCCACCTATTGAAAACCACTTAGTGAAGGTGTGAGAATGATATGAACTATAAAGATTAATTCAATAAACTAGTGGAAAAAGCCGAGCCACAAGCAATTATGATATCATCAGAGTATGAATAGTACCAAAACAAAAGCATTCAATAAATCAATAAAAAAAATGAAGTATAATTATTTATTACATTAATAACAATTATTTCCCTATTCAGTCTGTTATTATCCACTTAATCATTGTCAAATAGACAACAACAAGGAGTTAATACACTATATTGAATTTAACAAAAAATTGTTATTAGCAACTAAAGAATAATTAAAATTAACCTATTTTAAAATTAAAAATGTCCTTACTTATCAATGTACAAAGAACTTTAGTAATTAAGTCACACAAGTAAAAGTAAAACTAATTTAGCAAAAAAAAAAAAAAAAAAAATAACCATAAATGATTGATAATATTAAAAATTAATTGTTTTTTTTTCTTAATGATGAATAATTAAAATAATAAAAGCTGTTGAAAGTCTTAATTTACAAATTGCATAAACTTGATTTTTAATTTAATTCTCATACCATTATTTGTATATCTACTTAAAATGTTTATACAGTTGAAAATATATATACAAATAATAATATGTATGCTGAGTATCTACAGCAAAGTTTAATGTTAGCTAAACAATAATTTTAAAAATCTCAGTTTAAACATATAAATTAGTTTGGAATTAAATAACATTTCAATTGTAGTTTTGTTATGAATAAAATTACATATGTCAACAAAAACTGAAAATATAACACCTATTAGATGTTAACATTTTTTTATGACATTAAATTTTTCAAATATACAGTTTAATTATATAACTGGTGAAGCCGAGTCTGATCTAGAACCTGATCTGCTTCTATAAAAATATATATATATAAAGTTAAAACATGATTCATCCAATAATCACTGTATTAGTTAAAGTTTACTAAACTTTAAAAATCTATATTTACCTAGATCTAGAAGGAGATCTGCTGCCAGATTTTGAGTGTGAATTAGATGCAGATCTACTTCTTGAATGAGCTGGTGAATTAGAAGCAGAACGACTACCAGATTTTGATCGTGCTGGTGATCTTGATTCTGACTTAGATTTACTACGAGATTGTGAGCGCGATTTAGAACCAGATGCAGAACGAGACCTAGATCGGCTATTAGATCTTGAATGACTACGTGAAGGAGAACGACTTCCTGAACGAGATCGACTGCCAGAATGTGAACGGCTACCAGATCGAGATCTACTACCTGAACGTGATCTAGATCTTGAACGGCTGCGTGAAACACTTCTAGATTTTGAACCAGACCGAGATCTTGATTGACTTCTAGATTTACGACTACCTGAACGTGAACGAGACTCTGAACT